GACTATATATATTTCCCTAGATCTTTTAAGATTCTATTAAGTATAGAAAGGTRGTTCTATAGCCTAGTAGTATAATTCTATCTTAGCTACTATCTTAGTGCAATTCCTTAACTTAGTATTATATAATCGAGTATATCTATTCGGACATTCTTAATTATATGCTTTTGCTAAATTTTGGAATGCTTATTATATACTAAGATAATTTATATATATCTAGAAGTTTGGACTAGTAAGAGGTTTAGTTAGGCTATTTACAACTATTTCTTTTATTAGAAGGTATTTTATATAGATCTTCTTTTACTACTAAAGTCTTCTTATAAAGTTATATATAATATTAATATGCTTTAACCTTTTATAAATATATGCATCCTTTATAAGGGTAAGGCAGGCTTAGTTATTCCTAAAGAGTTAAACTAGCCTAAGCTATTTAGCTATATCCTTTCCTACTTTAATTATTAGTTAAAAAGCAGATAATCTAATAAGCTTAGTTTAACCTATTTCTCTAAGTAATGCTAAAAGGAACTGTAATTATTTTATATATACATTTATTACTATAAACTTAGCTTCTATTATAGAAGTTGCTATAGATTTCTACTTCTTGCTTATCTATAAAATTAGGGCATTATATAACTTAAATACATTTCTTAAGATAGAGATCCTATCTAACTTGTCTATTGCAAAGTCTAAGTCTAAGTACCTAATTAAGTATCTAGATCTAGATCTTATAAAGGTTAATTTAAGATTAGAAAATAATCTTAGGTACCTTAAGACTTTCTTTAAAGCTTTTAGGTAGGCTTTAGATAGATTACTTAAAAATGCACTTAGCTTTCTAATTGCAAAGGCAATATCTAGTCTTATTATAATTATTAGCTACATCTATATTCTAATTGTTATCTAGTATTCCTCCTTACTATATYTCTTATTATTTAGGCCTAACTTAATAAGTCCCTTATAATTGTCTATTAGTAAGAGAGTTAACTTTAAGGATTTTAACTTAATGCCTAGTTTCTAAAGACTTTCCTAAATATAATAGCTTTAATCTAGTTTTAGGGTTCTAAGCTTCCTATTTCTTATAATRTTTATTCCTAGGATTCTAGATAGTTCTYTAAGATCCTTAATYTTAAAGATCTTTCTAAATTCCTTYTTAAACTAGTTTATAGAGTTTATTAATAGGGCAGTAATTAGAATATTATTAATATATGTTATAACTATAAGATTCTTTCTATAATAGAATATTAGATATARGTTAAYCTCTAACTRAAYAAATCCYAAATCTTTAAGCTTTAAAAYAYAAAGCTAATTCTAGTCTCTAGYAGCTTRCTTTAATCTATATAGGCTTCTTAGGATTTTTAGGACTTAGCTAGGGGGAAGATCTACTCCTTTAGGTAGGGCTATAAAAATGTCTTCTTAGAGGTAACTATTTATAAAAGTACTATTAATATCTATAAGATAGAGTTCCTAGTCTTCCTTATAGACTATAGCTATAAATGTTCTTAAGGTTTTATATCTAATAGTTAGTGCAAAAGTCTCCTTAAAGTTAATCCTATATTTCTATAAAAAACCCCTTACTATAAGTCTTACTTTTAACTTATTAAGGGTACTACTTGCTAATCTTTTTATAGTAAAGACCTATTTTAAGGTTATAAGGTTTAATCCTTTTAGAGCAATAATTAGTTCCTAGGTCTAGTTGCTTATAAGTGAATCTAGTTCCTTCTAGATTGCTTCTATCTATATTACTCCCTATTCTTTATCTCCTACTACTTCCTTATAAGTAGCTAGAACTAGGATATTCTGCTAGTATGCAGTTTAGGTAGTTATTGCAGAGAAAGCAAGTTTATAGAAGATATCTTATATTTTTAGGTCCTAGCCTAGTTTAGAGATTATAGCTAATAAGGCCTATATAATCTCTATTACTTCTCTATTAGGATTCTAATCCTTTAGCCTCTTTTAGCTTATCTCCTAAAGGACTCTCGGTCCTTTAGATTTAGATTTAAATCCTTCTATATTACTTATAGCTTTTCTCTTTCTTTACTCTACCTAAGGTAGAGAATTAACTTAGTCCTTAATTTTCTAGAATTCCCCTACATTTGCTAGGGGAGGAGGAATCTAAATAAATGCTATAGGGGCTAACTTTTTAGTTATAGGTTCCTAGATTAGAATAGGTTTAGGTCTTAGTATATTAGCTAGCCTTCTAAGTGGTTTTCTCTRTAGTATATTTAAGGAAAGATGCTTAGATTAAAACTTTAAATTTAAATTACCCCCCCTCTTTTCCTTAAAGAATACTATATTTAAGTGCTGTTTTATAGCTCTTATATCTAGATCCTAGAAAAGCTAGGATTTTAATGTTCCTTTAATATATCCTATAAATACTATATCCTTTCCTCTATTTATAAGTTTGTTACTCCTTGCCTATTTAGGTTAGGATTTTAGGTCTATATATATAATAGCTTAGTACCCCTAAACTCTTAGATAATATATAGTTAGCTTAATTCCTATAAATGCTTCTTTAGGTAATAGCTTAAAGCCTTTAACTTTAGGACTATTTAGCAGCCTATTCCTTATTTTAAACTAGGCTACTAGAGCTTTAAGCTAAAACTTAATTAGTATTCCTAATTCTTTAATTATTGCCCTTACTACATCTTCTAATATTTAGATAGATCTTTCTATAACTCTATTCTAAATAGAATTATATGCATCTATTATATTAAAGTGGATTCCTAAATCCTTCTCCTACTATTTTAGTAGACTAGTAAGTTTAGGTGCATTATCTAATTTTATTATCTTTAATTTTAAAGATGTTTTTCTTTTAGCTTTTAGCTTCTAGATTTTTAGAGTAGCTAGGGCATCCTCTCTACTAATAAGTAGGTATCCCTATTTCTTCCTTAAGAAGTTATTAATAACTTCTAGCTAGTATTAATATCCTAATCTAGACTTTAGGAGAGGGCTATAGATATCTAGGGATATAAGCTTAAGTACCTAAGGTTTTCTCTTAGTAACTTTTCCTTTATATTTCTTTATCTTTATAAGAGCATAGACTCTATACTTTTCCTTATAGTCTTCTAGGAGTTAGATTAGATCCTTTAAGTCTATTACTTTATAGACATTCTTAAGAAGATTCTTACTAAAATAGCTAAATCTTCTATACTAAAGCTCCTACTAATTTAGTAACTCTCTTATAGTAAATCCTATTTCCTTACTTTCTTCCTTTTCTTCTTTTACTAATAAAATAAGAGCCCTCTCCTAGAGAGACTCTAAAACTTCTAAAATAAATAGAATACTATTCTAGATTCTAGTCTAGATAATAGGAGTTCTATTCTATAATACTAGAGTAAACTAGGGTAGTTAAATACTATACTAATAGCTAAACTAATTCTAAGAAACAAGATTAACTCCTAAATTAGGTATAAATAAAACTTTATTAAGTAAGATTTTCTTCCTATTCTAGCCTCCTATAACTGCTTTTCCCTTATATATAGCTTATAGCTATCTACCCCTAACCTTAATCTATTTCTTCCTTTAAAGTAGAATTATAGATCTAAAGAGTTATAGTT